CGAAAAGGGTGGAGTACAATCCGAAAGCATATGCCTGAGGTGATGTACAGTCCTAGAGTCTACGCGTCGGCTGGGTCTCGTGCGGAAAGCACTGGCCACTGGACACCGAAAATGTTATGTGCCGCTTGATTCGCTAGCCTCCTCCTCGCCCTCCTCCTCCCCCTCCTCATCCGGGCGCCCAGAGGGCCGCCCGATTGTCAAGGCGGCCTCAGGCTAAGCCTTAGCCCCCTTAGCCTAGTCCGATTCATCGGTGCAGTGGGGGTAGAGCTCGCCGGGCGGCGCCTAGCCTCCTCCTCCTCCTCCTCCTCCTCCTCCTCCTCCTCCTCCTCCGGGCGCTCAGCGGGTCGCCCGCTCGCCAAGGCGGCCTCAGGCTAAGCCCTAGCCCTCTTGGCCCGCTTCATCGGTGCCGTTGGGGTAGAGCTCGCAGGGCGGCGCCTAGTGGGAGTTGTGGTGCGGGAGATCTTCGCCTTCTTCGCAGGGCCTTTCATGGGCGGCGGCGGGGGGTCGCCGCCGTTGCCGCGCTTGCGAACTGGCACCTGCTTGGCGGGGCTGAATTCGAACAGGGCGAGAGCGAACGCCTGAACGGTCCCGACAGCTTCCAAATGCATACCGTTGCCCATGACCATCTTTAGCAACGTATCGGGCGCGGTAAAGATGTCATCCGACTGCCAGGGAAAGTACATGTGGTGCATCTCCCGTACGCGCTCGTCCACAACGCCGTCGATGCCATGAGGAAGGTGAGGCATGGAAATGGGGAACGACTGGATGGCAAAGTGCTCAAGCGGCAGGACGCTGCGGATCTGAATCCTCGTGCCAATCCTGTCCAGCCTGGGCTCCGCGGTCATGAAAGCCATCTCAGATCGGGTCAGCAACGCAGGGACCACGCCGGAAGGCTGCACTCCGTTCCGGCCCACCGTCTGCCCCAAGTCCACGGCGGCCACGTCCCCAATCATCGCATGCCCCTGCTCGAGCATCGTCTTGAACTGGCTACGGTACCCCATGGCCCGCTGAAAATTCGCTGCTGGGAGAATGTGCGCGAAATCAGCTTCTGCCCGATACACCAAGCCCAAGTGGTTCATCGCGTTGCGCATGAACTGGTTCTTCTGCACGACCGTGGCCTGTTGGTACACGTTGCAATTAGCGATGAGGTCGCGGAAGAATGCCGATTGGAACAGCGCCACCAGCAGCTGGCGCACCCTGGCGACTTCGTCCTCATCCCCAATAAGTTCCTTCAGCGCGAGCGCGGGCATGGTGGAGTTCTCCACGATACTCAACTTCTCCACGAGCGCACCAATCGTGCAGCGGCGCCACCTGTCGGCAGGAACGCCAAGCAGCTTTGGAGAGAAGTTGATGCTGAGGACGAAGTACTGGCTCAGTGTGTCAGCGAGATAACCCCACTGGCATTGTGAGACGCACTCGTGAATAAGCAAGTGTGGCTTGACATGCTTGGCCCAGAACATCCACACGAGGCACGGGAGGGTGGATTCGTGGAGCCACTGCTTGGTCGCACTATCAGGAGATCTCATACTGGACCACGCAAGGCATGTCGTTCCGGCTGCTTCAATGCGCAGCTCGTCTGGCCTCAACCTTGGTTGCAGGGAGCAAGCACGCCCATGCACGTAGCAGTGGGCGCGCTTCCGGAACTTTGTCTTCTCCAACACCTTCACCATCTTGGCCATCATCTGGACGCCCACTCTCGCCTTCGAATCTTCAATCTCCTCCACCGTCAGCCGTTCTGGGTGCTCATCCAAATCTCGAGCAGCATCCAGTGCGTCTTTCTGGACCAACAAGAGATGACTCTGATCTGCTGTCGGCAGCATCTCCAGGACATCGCCGAAGACGTGGTCGGGCGAGAACTTGCTGGCGAGGAGCAAGCTTCTGGTCTTAACGTCGATCTCGCTGGCCGAATACGTGGTGGAGTCAAATTCGCCGACGCCCTCAAGCTGTGCCAGTGCTAGTTCGGCGCACCCAACTCCAGAATAGTGCGTCGTCATCAGGACCTTCTTGCGCTGCAACACTTCCTTGCAGCGAGCGCCCAGACGAGGCACATCTTGTATGACGCGCTCCGGCCATTCGATGATACCTGCGAAATCAGAAGGACCTGGCCTACCGTATCGGACAGGTTGCGCCACCTCTCCGTCGACCTCCATCAGTGCGTCGGTGTATCTGGGCGCGCGAAGTGGAACGGGCCAGATTGCGATAGCCAGGTTGAGTCACTGCGAGCCCAAAATGCCTACGGAAGGTCATGGACGGGGCCGGCGAGCATTGCTCCATATACGTATGACGTCGCACATCTTCGAGCCAACGAATACGTCCTCTTTGCTGAGCTGAGTCCAACCGTGGCGACGAAGGGACCAGCCATGATGGGTGGTACCAGCGGATTATCGTCTTAGAAATCAATAGGCACTGGCATCGATACGAATTAGCGCATCTCCGAGCCAGCGTGCACATCCACTGTGTCGAGCTGCTGCGTCCAGCTGTGATAGGGCGACGAAATCTATACATATCCACTGCTCCCTGGCCAGGCCCATCCTCAACCCCGCAGCGGTGTATACGCCACGCCCTCCTGGCTTGGCCAGGAGGGCGCATACACAGCTCCTGGGTTCAAGATGGGCATGGTCAGGGAGCAGTGGATATGTATAGATTTCGTCGCCCGATGTGACGACGAGTGGACCCAACAGAAAGGAAGGCGAGCAGACGGCCGTCCAACGTCAGCTTAGCATTGGAGGGGCACACACACCTAGGAACTTACAGGTCAAGCGAGGAGGACCGCTGGGCCTCTGGCCACCACGTTGACGTTGGGTGCGGCGAGGGGGACTTAGAACACCAATTGGCCAGAAACCCAATATCGAAAACACACCAAAAACAAAAAAAAACATAGAAAACCAAAAAAAAACCTTGAAAATTCAACAAAATAGTGAAAACACTGCAAAACAACACAAACTCAAGGAACGCGTGGCCCCGGACAACCCTTGGGGGGCTTTTTTTTTTCGGGAACTGCCCAGGGCCACCAGGGCGTCGCAGCCACCAGGGGGAGGGTCAAACTAATCACCTGACCGTGGGGCCTCCTCCTCCGCGTCCTCATCCTCCTGCTCCCCCTCCCTCCTGCCCCTCCGAGGTCCTCCTAGGTCCTCCTAGGTCCTCCTAGGTCATCAGACCTAGGAGAACCTAGGAGGACCTAGGAGAGCCTCGGAGGGCTATGAGCTAGGACGGCCTAGGATAGGAGTACCTAGGAGGGCTTAGGAGGGCCTAGGAGGACCTAGGAGGACCTAGGAGGGCTATGAGCTAGGAAGGCCTAGGAGGGCCTAGGAGGGCCTAGGAGGGCCTAGGAGGGCCTAGGAGGACCTAGGAGGACCTAGGAGACCCTAGGAGGGCCTAGGAGGGCTATGAGTTAGGAAGGCCTAGGAGGGCCTAGGAGGGCTTAGGAGAGCCTAGGAGGACCTAGGAGGGCCTAGGAGGACCTAGGAGGGCCTAGGAGGGCTATCAGCTAGGAAGGCCTAGGATGACCTAGGAGGGCCTAGGAGGGCCTAGGAGAGCCTAGGAGGACCTAGGAGGGCCTAGGAGGGCTATGAGCTAGGAAAGCCTAGGAGGGCCTAGGAGGGCCTAGGAAGCTTAGGATGGCCTAGAAGGCTTAGGATAACCTAGGAAGACCTAGAAGGGCCTAGGAAGGCTATGATCTAGAAAAGGCCTAGAAGGGCCTAGGAGGGCCTAGAAAAGCCTAAGAGGACCTAGGAGGACCTAGGAGGATGTAGGAGGGCCTAGGATGGCTATGAGCTAGGAAGGCCTAGGAGGGCCTAGGAGGGCCTAGGAGAGCCTAGGAGGACCTAGGAGGACCTAGGAGGACCTAGGAGGGCCTAGGAGGGCTATGAGCTAGGAAGGCCTAGGAGGACCTAGGAGGGCCTAGGAGGGCCTAGGAGGACCTAGGAGGGCCTAGGAGGGCCTAGGGGGCTATGAGCTAGGAAGGCCTAGGAGGACCTAGGAGGACCTAGGAGGGCCTGGGAGGGCCTAGGAGGACCTAGGAGGACCTAGGAGGACCTAGGAGGGCTATGAGGTAGGAAGGCCTAGGAGGATCTAGGAGGACCTAGGAGGACCTAAGAGGGCCTAGGAGGACCTAGGAGGACCTAGGAGGACCTAGGAGGGCCTAGGAGGGCCTAGGAGGGCCATGGGCTAGGAAGGCCTAGGATGACCTAGGAGGACCCAGGAGGGCCTAGGAGGACCTCGGAGGTCCTCGGAGGGACAGTGAGAGTGGGTCCTCCGAGTTCGACCATCGAGGGCGCTCCGGGGGGCTCTGGGCCGTTTGGGTGGAGACTGCGGGGAGCGCACCAGAAGATCTCGTAGGACAACGCTGTTTGAGCGGTTGCGGTGTGCGTGATTGGTTTGGCACGATTTTCAAAGGATTCAACGGTTTTTAATAGTTGTCGCTGCGTTTCATGGTTTTCAATGTTTTCAGCGCGTTTGCTGTGTTTTTTTTTTTTTTTTTTTTTTTTTTTTTTTTTTTTTTTTTTTTTTTTTTTTTTTTTTTTTTTTTTTTTTTTTTTTTTTTTTTTTTTTTTTGTGTGTGTGTGTTTTTTTTTGTTTTTGGGAGTTTGCATTTTCCGCCACCAACCCCAACGCTGTGGGCTCAACGGCACGCGCCGCCGCAAGCGGCGGGCCGTCGCACAGTCGTGAGCGGCGCACTGGACGCCCAAGCGTCTAACCAGCCTCAAGGCAGCCATGCACGGGGGAAGACCAGGAGCAGGACGAGAGCAGGTGTTGGATAGGCGGCACGAGGAGGAGCAGCAGAAATTTGCAAATAAACAATCAGTCTTGAGGAGGAGGCTGACCCTCTTCCAATCCGATTCGACGCCCTACTCACCTCCTCGTCCTCATCGTCATCATCATCATCATCATCATCATCATCATCATCATCATCATCATCATCACCATCCTCATCATCATCATCACCATCATCCTCATCATCATCCATCCCGCTCCCCTTCATCTCCCTTTAGGGGGACTCCCTACATTCCGATCACCTCAATCGGAATCACTACTGCTGCTGCTGCTGCTATCAGAGCCAGAGCTGCGGCTGCTACTGCCGCCGCTCCCAGCGCCGCGTCCACGGCCCCTGCCACGACCGCGAGCACCGCGGCCGCCGCGGCCGGCTCCGCGCCGCCCACGTCCACCGGCTGCTGGAGCATCACCAGCAGCGGCACCGCGACCACGCCCGCGTCCCCTGGCTCCTGCGACTCCGGGGTCAGCAGCAGCAGCAGCGGCACCGCGACCACGCCCGCGTCCCCGGGCTCCTGCGACTCCGGGGTCAGCAGCAGCAGCGGCACCGCGACCACGCCCGCGCCCCCGGGCTCCTGCGACTCCGGGATCAGCAATAGCAGCAGGGCGTCCTGTGAGTGAGGAGATGGGTGATGGGCCTGCATTCCACCACCACCACCATAAGTTGGAGGGGGAAGGAGGATGAGGACGAGGAGGAGGAGGACGAAGAGGAGGAGGAGGAGGAGGAGGAAGAGGACCCCCTCTCCCTCCAACTTATGGTGGTGGTGGTGGAAAACAGGCCCAGCAATGGGGGCGGATGTGGAGGAGGCTAGAGGCCCCACGTATCCTCGACCACGCCCTCGGCCACCACCGCGACCGAGACCAGGTTCAGCAGCTGCACCTGCCGCAGGGACAGGGACCGCAGCTGCAGCTGCTTCAGCATCCAACTCAACATCGGTCGCAACACGCTCAAGAGGCCCATTCTCGATCTTCCTGGTGCGGATGACCGCGAATAAAGGGGCTGGGTCCATCGGCGCCACGAGATGCTGGCGTTGCCGTGTGCAGTCGCGCGCCTGTACGCACCAATACAACAGACGCCTCAGAGCCAAGCATCGGTCTCTCGCTGTTGGACCGAACAGGGGGGCGTACTTCTTGCAGCCAGTCACGTCGTTCTTTCTGTGGAACGGACAAGATGCCTGGAACCCCCCGTAGAGGCCAGCAGAAGGTTGCCCAGGCTGATATGGGGTTATCCGGAAGGCACCCCACTTCGACCCTTTCAACACGGCGTCGAGTGCGCCGCCTCCGCCAGCGCCGCCAGGCCCCCCCGCTGCAACGGGGTGTGCAGGCGCAGCCTCACCCGCTGGTCCTTCGGGCAACCCAGCAGGTCCGAGGTCCACAAGAGGGCCACCTGAGATCAGCCAACCCTCCTCCCTCCCATCCTCCCCTACCTCCTCTACTTCCTCAACGTCATCACCTCCTCCCCCTCCTCATCTACTTCCTCCTGTCCCTTCTCATCCTCCTCCGCCTCCTTGTCCTCATCCTCCCCTACTCCTCCGCCCCCTCTTTAGCTTGTCCGCAGCCGCCACCTCCACCACCCGCATCGCCCCCGCCATGGAGGCCTCCGCCAGCAGGATCAGCTCCGCCAGGTGGATCACCTCCAGCCCCTCCGCCGGGTTGACCACCTGCACCAGGATCAGCACCTCCACCAAGATCTCCTCCGCCCGGCGGAGCAACTCCGTCTCCACCAGGAGCAGCTCCACCAGGTGGGCCTCCGCCTCCAGGATCACCTCCGCCAGATGGGCCTCCACCAGGATCAGGTCCGCTAGGCGGGCCTCCACCAGGATCAGGTCCGCCAGGCGGATCAGCGCCAGGATCTCCTCATGGGGGGAGGCAGCGCCGAGCTACTCGCCATCATCACCATCATCATCATCATCATCATCACCATCATCATCATCATCATCATCATCATCCTTGTCTTCTTCCCTCCTCCCTTATCCATCCTCCCTCCTCCTTCTCCTCCTCCTCCTCTTCCTCATCGTCATCCTCCTCCTCCTCCCTATCCCTCCTCCCCTCCTCCGAGCCTCCCCTTCATCCACAGGGGTCGTGGTAAACACTTGGTGGCCCCTCCTGGGGGCCCCGGTCTGGGGGGGGTGATTGCCACCGCCGTCTCCTGCGTCGCCGCCAGCAATGGCATCAGGGCCAATCATATCAATATCATCAACTTTGAAGAGCGGTGACCAGGCCCCGGCCCCTGGTGATCCAGGTGGTGTCGGGCAGTCGACACCCTCCGGACCGCTGGCGTCGGAATGGCCGCCTGGGGCGTCGGGCCCTGGTGATCCAGGTGGTGTTGGGCAGTCGAACATCTCCGCACCGCTGGCGTCGGAATGGCGGCCTGGCGGATGCGAGAGGAGGAGGAGGAGGAGGAGGAGGAGGAGGAGGAGGAGGAGGAGGAGGAGAAGGAGTGACAGGGAGAAGTGAGGGGGGAGGGGGAGGACGAGGGGGAGGGGGAGGACGAGGCAGGGGGGGAGAGAGGAGAGGAGAGTGGGAGAGGTGTAACACACACGTACATACATGCCGCCACCTTCACCTCCAGGGCTCCCAGGCTCGGGCTCTGCGTCGTCGTCGGTGTCGTCGCCGATGGGCTCGAGATCGATGTCCATCTCATCGTCCGGCAGATGCTCGACGTCGGCGATGGGCAACATACTGATTGCCTCCCTCGGCCTTCTGGCTGGACCAGCAGCAGATCCGGGCACGGCCACCTCCCCGTCGACTTGCATATCTCCAATTGCTGGCGTCAGCTTTCTCTTTCGCGAAGGAGCGGGGGCAACGAAATCACGCCCTTCAAGAATAGCAAGGTATTGCGCATCCGTCGCACCGTGGGGGATTGTAGAATGTTTCCCCAGTGCCACAATGATCTCAGCTTGTAGCAAACAACGCATATATTTGCACACAGTTGAAGTAATTGCATTGGAAACCGTATACCACTTCTTGACGCCCCCAGGCGCGTAACCCTTCAAGGCCGTCCGCGCCTTCGGATTTGTTGGCAGTTGGTGCCATACGAAGCCAAGGTTACTCAGTTCCATGAGCATCTCATAACTGGTCCGATCGTCAATTGGCACGTCGGCGACGGGTCGGCAGTCGCACACCCGATCGCACCGACTCACGTGCCACAGAATCCGTAATCTGTCCACTCCTTGCGCAGTCAGGTAAAACCCATCGGCATCCTCCGCCACAACGCTGATGGCCATCAACTCCGGGGTGACTGCAGCGTGTACACCGAATGCCCCGGGCGGAACGCGCATGTTGTGTGGTGGGTACGCACCAGCATCCACCAATTGTGTCACGGCATTCGCCCCATCGACGATGCACCCATCCACTGTGTAGCGTACGTGGCTGTCGATACTCCAGCGGGTGAACGAGTCCTCGACGGTTGCGATATTATCACCGAGAGAATGAATCAGCGAAACATCCTCGAAAGGCGCTTCAGCGTGCACGAGGTAGGTATCGTCATCGATCTTGGAGTGAATGTTGTGCTCAGTCACAGCCACATGGGTGTCGCGTAGTTGTGCGCGACTGCCCAATGGCATCTGTAGTTGCTTGGACGCCGACGGCCTCATTTTCACAACCCTGAAAAAGACAAATGCTTCGTCATCACGACCAGATGTGCATTCACCATCCAGGATCATCAGCGGGTCTGGGGCTTCCTGTCGTCGCGCTGCGCCTGGGTCTCGGCAGTAGTAACTTCCAAGTGGCTGGATGAACGTACCATTCCCCAATGGAAGGGAATACAATACAGATGGTGAGCCTGAGCCCAATGTCCTGAAGTGGTCCAGTATGGCAGCGCGCTTCATTCCATCATAGCTGATTGGCTCAGGCGGCTTATCCCCCAAAATCATAAGCTGTTCTTTTTTCTGCTTGGCCACCAAAGTATTGTGAGCTCGCTTCACCTCGGCCAAGTTTTGGCATTGAGAGCGCAAATCAAGTCTGTAGATAACCTGGGCCAATGGCTTCTCCAAGTACGACGAAACGTCCTTCTTGACAGCTCGCAATTGGAACAAGTCACGGATCTCTGGGAAACCTTGAAGTCCCAGCAGCGAAGGGACGCTGGCCAGGTGGCGAGCCGTGGCGAACTTTTCCAGGAGGAGGTTGAAGAACGGTCGGGCCGGTCCTGTTTCTGACGCTATTCGAGATTCGATCAGAGGCATGCGGTTGCTGAGGCTGGCAATGACAGATCCCGACCTTGAAACTTTTTTCCTTTTTGTGGTCAGCACTGCGTGTTTGCACTCGATCGTGGTCTCAGTGACGGGCGCGAATCTGAGGACTGCCACCGCGGCTTGGAACTCATCGGACAGGTCGGACCAATCACAACCTTCAGCAAAACGACACAAGTCACCGTGGAGCGGGCCATCAAACATAAACTGATGAGCGACCCGATGGTGGAGGGTCTTGTCAGGCGTCGTGTCCAGCGCATTGATAACATCGCGTGCAACGCGCTGTGCTTCAGCTTGGTCATTGTGTGCCAAACCACAGAGCAACCACGGCATCCTCTGCCAGAAGTCCGTCTTTGTGCGAAGTACTAGCTTCAAATGCGCGGTCGCAGAGTGCCACGTCTGCAACAGGTCGTCCAGCTCCTCGCGCCCTCCTTCTGGCGTCGCCAAGTACGATACCTCTGACGTGAGATCTGCAGCCCCCTTGCGTGCCATTGAGTCCATGACGTTCATGATGTGGCCTGCTGCTAACTCGGGCGCCCTCTTGCCTGCAAGCGGACATGTGTGGCAATGATTTCCGAAGTGGGACTCTGCCACGCGTTGCCGGTGCAGGAGTGATTGGCCGACGAACATCGGCTCGTGACATGGGCAGCCTTCGGGCCACGATGCGATTTGCTCTGGGATCCTATCCAGTTGGAGCACGAGGGCCAAGAAACCCTTGAAGGCCTTGTCTTTGATGGTCGCAGAGAACATCTCGATATTGAACTGAGCCGATGCTTTGGAGGCCTTGGTTTTCACACCGACGTCGACGTCGTCCGCAAATACCCCAGCCTCGTACTTCTGGGGATCCCAGGTCGCCGACAAGAGGGTCATCAGAGGCTTGACCGCCTTGACGAACTTGTGAACTTCATGCCAGCGCGCCTCGTAGAGAGAACAAGTAAAAGTTTCCAAATCTGACGCGTACTCTGCCATCGGGGTACCTTCGATACACATGGCAAGGAGCCGCTGCCGTCTCCTCGTATTGTTTAAGATGGCTTCCATGTTTTTGAGCTGTGTCCAGTAATCCGACCAGCCGCCGATCGCAGTGTGGACCTCCTCTAGGAGGTTGTATACGACGTGCTGGATGCCTGCGACAGGCATGGCACCAGGGAATAAATCCGCATGCCCGCCGACTGCCGGGCCGCTGGCGAGCAGACCTCTCTCACGCACAGTTACACACGAACACGCATTTACAGTCAGCTTCAACATCAATGCATGAGCACGCCTGAGCACGCACACACGCACCAGCTCATAGTCCCCATGAGACGGGGAGAGGGGGGGAGGGAGGAACAGAGGGCGGGATGGATGGAGGATGGAGGGGGGCATGGGGCAAGAAAGGAAGGGCGAGGAGGGGGAGGAGGAGGAGGAGGAGGAGGGGGAGGAGGAGGAGGAGGAGGAGGGGGCCCGAAAAGCGCCAAACCTCCTTATGCAATCCTCCCATACCCTCCCCCTGGCCTCCCCTTCCCCTCTACCGCCTCCCTCCACCCTCCTCAATTTTTTGTTGGCATCCCAGTCCTCGTGATCGCACTCACCATCCATCTCCATGGTCTGCAACATCATATGGTGTGGCATGGCGCTTGCAAGCTTTACTTGGAAACATTGGAGCCCTACCTCTGTACCAAGGTCAGTTGTCACGGACGCATATGACGACAAGTGGTTCCGAAGATCGGCCCAAGATGGACACTCCAGCGCCATGGCGCGCAGCATCGCGGAGGCTTTATGCGGCAGGTCGGTC